TTAGAAAGGCAGATGCCTATACTTTGCTGACCCTTTAAGAAACTCTTCCATATAGGGTCAAGAAACAAATACAGGCTAGTTCTCTACATCAGGAGATTGCACCATGCCTCTGAAATCACTACTGTAGAGAAGACCTGAATAAAAGTCATCTTTCAAAACTCTCCCTCCCAGGTCTGATTTCAGTGCTTGAAATGGGAGGATGATGTGGTAATAAAGAGTCATTCAGAAAGGTGGTCAGGGATACGTTTCAGACATGTATGCTGTGGTTAGAAATACCTTAAAGGCTCCATTCAGTGCCTTTAGGAGTAAGCCACAAAGTGCTAAGTGTTCAAATCAGTTATGGATAAGGAGAATACAATTTTTTTTTATTTCATATAAATTATAAATGTGAAAAGTACTGAATTCTTTTTCTTTTTAAGGAGCCGCTACAAGACTGGGACTATAGTCAACAAAACCATGGGAAACCATATATTTTATGACTTCTACATCATTCTCTTAGAATCAACATGAAGTCTGGAAGAGATCCCTGAGGCCATCTAGACCAGGGCTCCAAGGGGTCCATAAACAGATTTCAGGGGATCTATGAACTTAGATTGGAAAATAATTTCATCTTTATTTTTACTAACTATAATTTAGCATTTACTTTTTTAATTTAAAAACTTTATTATTTAAAAGTATTTAAATTTATTTAAATTATTTTAAAAATTATTCTAAGCAGGGGTCTATAGGCTTACCCAGACTAATAAAGGTCATACGGGCTTTCCCAGACAGCTCAAGAGGTACAAGGGCTTCCCTTAGAGTGGTCATGAGGTCCATAACAGCAAAGGTTAAAACCTCCTAGTCTAGAAGCCCTTCTTTCATTTTACAAAGAAAGAAATGGAAGCCCAAGAAAGGATTGTACTTTGCTCTTGGTCACACAGTGAACCAGAATGCAACCTTAGACCTCTTAGATCTCAGTTCCATAAATCCAAGGCTGATCCAAGGTTCTTCAGCAAGGTATCCTACACACCGAAATTACTGAAGTTTGAAGTTAGCAGAAGAATATTTCAAATTTACCAAGTCATGAGGGTGGGGAGAAGAGGGTCTTAGAAGGTGTATAAATCTCAAAAAACACAATTTCACTTATTATTAAGTGGTGCTTTCTTTGGGAGTATTATAAATTCAGATGCTTCCACTCCCCAAATCTCATATACCACTTTGCCTGAATCTCTCCTTTGCATTTTACTTCCATTCTCTTGTACTTCTGTAGCTTAGTTATTTGTGTCTATCCTACATTTATCTTACTTTCATATCATAGCTATTTATGTACTTATCCTTTATCTTGCCCCCTCCAACCCCCATGAAATTATAAACTCTTTGAAAGCAAGGCTTGAGTCAGCATCCGTCTTTGCATCCTTCTACCTAGCCCAGTGCATCTCATATAGCAGACAATTAATAAAACACTTATTAAAATGAATTGAATTGAATTGAACTGTACCACTTCAGGAAGGGAACTATATCCAGGATATGGTATGACTCAAGTTATTAATAAGTTCATCTAATAGTAGTTATTTTTTCTAAAATATTCTCAAAAGGTTAAGGGGAATTACTGAAAAAAGGAACCTCTAAGCAATTAGTTATTTGAATGGTTAGGAAAAGACATACTAGTGTTTGCCTTTTCTATGTAAGTTTTATTAGCTTGAAAGTTATGCAAGTCTGCCCAACAAGCAGCTATAAATATTGATCCTGCCCCCTATCCCATCAAGAAGTCAATAGCAATCTTTGAATTTCATGTTTGTTTTTTCTTCCACTTTACTTGTAACAACCTCACATCTAAAGAAGGTCAATTTCAAAAGATTAACCTAGGGAAGTTAATAATCTATCAAGCACAACCACTTACAAGAATAAAAGAAATTGGAAGTAGACATCCTGCATGGTGACTTTGGATTTAAATGACAAGCCAACCTTAGAAAGGGATAACAACTGAGCCAGAATCAGGAAATGGCCAGCAGAATGGGAAGCACAGGGCATCGGACCCTCTGTGGGAATCTATCGGCACAGCCCAATTCACTATATGGGTATCTATTCTACCAGGTCTAAAATGATCTTTCCTAGAGGGAGTATCCCAGATAGTCAAGAATGGTGTGCCTGTATTCTAAGGTCTCTCCTTAAGAGGTTCTTGAGTTCTCTGTCATAATGGTCGGGAAAAATTTAAGACTGATACAGAGTTAAATCTACAAGACATAGTTTCATTTCACGGGAAAATGAGGTAAAAACAAACATTGTCTTGTAGGAAAAGCCCCAAATGTGAGTTCAAAGAGTTGGGTTTGAATCTTAGCTTTACCAATTGTTGATCCTGGGTAAGCCTTTTTGCCTCTAAGACTCAGTTTCCCCTTCTAGAAAAAGGACTCAGAAAGGACTTCACCCTATGATGCCTATGGTCATGTGCATAGCAAGAGGCCTTCTGAACTTGGCCTTTCAATTGAATTTTATGAGTTTGGAAGCAGAGATGTTTTAAAATATTATAGTTTTGTTGTTGTTGTTGTTTGCCAAACCTATAGTCCTTGCTATTGGGGGGTAGGGGTATGGTAGGGACTGGTGAATCACTTGAGCTCAGGCGTTCTGCGCTGCAAGAGGACTAAAGGCCATTGAGGGTTCTCACTAAGTCTGACTCCAAGGAGTGTGGAACCACCAGGTTGCCTAAGGAGGGGAAAACTGGCCCAGCATGGACATGGAGGCAGTCAAAGCTTTCACGCCATCAGCAGTTGGGTTGACCCTGTGAGTGGCTAATGCATTTCCAACCTGAGCAAGTTAGGCCTAGTTTCAAAACCAACAAACAAAAACCACTTTTTTTTCTTCAGACAGTATGTGTGTTGGGGGCTTGGTGTGTGGGGGGAGTCAAACAAATCCCTCCAATGCCTTCCTGCTGTGGTTATTAGAAATACCTCTTATTTTATCCTGATGAAACATAACTACAAAACAACTTCCTTATCATGCTTGTGTTGGGGGCCAATTTTACTGGAGGTTGTCCCTGCTGCGACCAGAGATACCCTGACACAGGAGTTTGCCCTACAGCACAATTACATCTCCTGGGCACTACCCAAGGCAACTACCCTCCCTTTTCCTTGTTCCTGTAAAGTAGTAATAATAATAGCACCTATTTCCCAGGATTGTTGAGATAGAAAGCAGGAAGCCCACTGCCAACCTTAGAGCACTCTATAAATACTACTACCACTACTATTATCACTAGTGATATTTCCATACTAACATGATATTTTACAACACCCTTCCTTCCATTTTTCTCTTTTCACCTACGGCTGAGCCATAAACCCTCCCAAACCAATTTCAAGTCATCTGCTCAGATGAAAACTCTCCACCGTCCCGCTTCCGTACATGACTCTCAAGTCAATTTGCTGTTCCCTGGATTACGTTTCTTACTGTTCTTATAAACAGAAAAGCGGCTCCCTATTTCTTCCCCTGGGGTATCTCTTTTCTCGTTGCACATTTAACTTCAGTCTGCTCCTTCCTGTGGCACAGTCCTGCCATTCAATTCTGCCTAGGGTTAGCAGTGATGAATGGGACTCCTCTGGTTGCCTACTCATATTATATTCCTGCCCCTCGCTCTCTCCCAAGGGCCTCCCCAGTCAAAGATTATGCTTCTGAGACTGCTGCTTCTAGCTTTAGCTGCACTGTCTGTCCTCCTGTACCTCCACCCTAGGCTAGACCTCCCTGGGGAAGAGAGACGTCGAGCCCCTTCGACTGGGGGCGCCCAGCCATCTGTACTGCCATTCAGTTCCATGACTGTGGTTACCGGGGGGCCATCGGTAAACAGCTTCTCTCAGTGCAGACAGTAAGTCAGCCAAGTCAAAATTTATACCAGAAATCTATTACCTAATTCTTAAACAGAATGACATAAAATCGTACTCCCAGATATCAAAAACATGTCTAGTTCCTGATTTCAGCAAGAAAAATCCACATTGTTGCTGCCTCCACCGCAGAATAATTTACTGCAACAGGAGTCCAGTATTCTGAGCCAAAAAGTGAGGGCCTTGTAACCGATGTCAAGGTCAATTATCTCGTGGTGGAGCCCACAACAAAAGCAGACTATTGCGATTACAGTCCTAAGCACAATACGGGGAATCTAGAAGGCTTCTGGGGATTTCTTAAGGCTCAGGGTTTTGGGGGAAGGGGCCGTTTATTTGTTTGTTTTAAATAAACTATCAGAAACATCGTGTGTGGGCACCGACCATCTTAGATTTGTTTAGAAGACAAAGCGAAAGACCCACAGTCTAGAGGCAAGCTTCTCTACGCTCCTAGGGGAAGGTGGCTGCTATAGGACAGAGCCATGTGGGCACTTGTAAGACTGAATGAATTCTAAGAGTCACCTCATAAGAAGAAATTATTGGATAGGGAAGGTCCAGCCTTGGACTCAGGAAGATCTGGGTTCAGCTCCTACCCTTGACTCATATTAGCTGTGTGACCAGTGGTAAGTTGCCATTTATCCTCTCAATGCCCCAGGAAGCTTTCTGGAACTATAAGTTACAGAGGAGTTGCCATTCTGCATCAGTGGAGGGAATTTTTATACCTAGAGTGCATCACACTAATGACCAGAAAAAACCCAAACCTGAACCAGAGCATAGCCTAAACAGTTGTGATGACTCCAAACAAACTCCCAACATCCTTCTGGGATTCTTCCTTCACTTTTTCCTATAGGAAGTCGATTCTGACCACCTTCCCCAGTCCAGTCACTAGTACCCTCTCCCTCGGAAATGACTTCGTATGCATTTTCTAGTTCTCTTATCTGTATCCACAGGGTCTCATCCTTCCCTTAACTCCCCCCTTTCCCCTCCCAAAGTAAGATCCCTGAAGGCAAGAACAGCTTTTTGTTTTGTAGCAGTGTCCCTAGCGCCTACTGACGTGAGTACCTGGTACGTGGGAGGAATTTAAGGAATAAAAGAAGGGGCTTACAGCTGCACCCCAGGGGCAGGAGAACCTGGGCGGCCCGGAGCCATAGTTCTTACCCTACAGTGAAGAACTGTCTCATCTCCTGTCTCCGAGATCTCATCAGCTGTTTGTATTCTCCGATGCGGAGTTTTTTGCCGTCCACAATGCAGGTGCGTTTTGGTCGGGGTTTATACTTGTAATTCGGGTACTTTTCTAGGTGGATCTTGCTTAGCCGGGCCTGCTCTTCATAATACGGCTGCTTCTCTTGGTTGGACATGGATTTCCAGCGAGAGCCTGTACACAAAATATCACTGAGGTCCCATGGGAATAAGGGGACATTCTGATCACCCCCTGAGCATCCCCTGCTCTGTGGCATCTCTCAGCACCAGCCACCCCAATTCTTCCAAAATAGGCCTAAAGACGACTGTGTGCTACATTTTGTAATCATCTATCTCATCATTGATTGTCATTCCTCATCTTTGGATCTCTGGAACTGAGCATGGGGATTTATACTTTGTGGGGACTTAATAATCCTTGGTTGAATTGCCATTTCCCCAACCCAAAGTTAGAGTTACACTCTACAACAGCCTCAATTCACATCCTGAATTGTCTGTCGACCACTTCCTTTATGCTTTTTTTTTTTTAAGATTGAAACTGATAAAGGAGGCTATGCATTCTTTAGAGTGACCCAGGGAGTTTAGGATGAGCTCCCTTGCTTCCAGAAATACAAATGATTCTCATATGCCGAGTATCCAGAGTAGGACAGCCCCCCCCCCCTTTGAAAGGAGGCCAGCAGATGTTGACATCCTAACAGATTTAAAACGCTGCTGTCTGGGCACATTGTCTTCTTTTGGCCAGTAGTAATTAAAAGCACTGAATTCTCCTGGGGAAGTTTTAGTTCAAGAACCGGAAAGCAGAGTTGCAGTTATATATACCACTTTCAAGGACTGTAAACGTTCATTCATAGCTACACTAATAAAATGACTAAAAATTTTAATACAGTTTATACAGGAAGAGGTAGAAGTATTCAAATCTCTAATATTGTTTATAAGGAATTATCTAAACACTTGACAAGGAAGGGATGTGTTTTTTTAAGTGTAGCAAATTGCATTTTTTGTGTGTGTGCTTCCCTGGGGAAGAAAGCTGTTCCATACAGCTGGGAGCACAGGATGGCAGCTACTCTGTCCCTATGTAAACAAATGGAAAAGTTGTACAAATAGTGTCTGCAAGCAGCAGCACCCCAGATCTGCTCCAAGAGTATGGCCCTTCTCCACCCCTTCCTTAGGGCAGTGGCTAAAGGTGCTGAGAGTCTCTGCAGATAGCTTTCTGTATGCTAGCCTAGACTCTGGCAGGTTAATGCCATGCCTAACAGATAGAGCATTTCTGGCACTCCTGAAATATTTATGCCAAAAGTTTACATTTTAATGAATACAGTTACTATACTCCTAATGGTTTTTTCGCAGAATGCACACAAATAATATAGATTCTCCACAGCTGCCAAATTTTAAACAGGGCAGGTTTTATACCCAACTGAAAGCCTATTCATGTTCTTACTGAAATGGCAGGCTAAAATTATGAAAACTTTCAAGCAAGATATTGAACTTTAGGACAGAGAAACATTTATTTCTATGATGTTTTGCTTATGGAAAAATATATATATACACATATATTTATATATCAACTGTCTTTATGCAGCCCATTTCAGTTAAAAGGGGTCTAGGATTCAAGACCATAGCATCCATACATGTCTCTTAGTTGAATACTGATTTTTTAAAAAGTACTTTATTGTTCGTGACATTTAAAAAATCTATCTTTAGCTTAAAAGGCTATAAGGACAAGCCTGGGTTTTAACTTTTCACCACTCTTCATTCTGATGTATGTTTCTAATTTGCAAAGAGGTCATTGACTCACACTGTCTCAGAATTAAGTTAAATTATTTATCTAGAGGCAAAACATGTGTATTTGTGTATGTCCCCAATCATTGATATTTATTCAGGTTAAATATTTATTGCTTTTGAACAAAACATTTAAAAAATTAAACCACAGTTTCTGGCTCTAAATGTGTTTAAAGCATCTTAATCTGCTTCCTTGGGAATTTTGTCACATCATGACAATTTAAATAGAACAGTGCTGCTTTCTGCTGGTTTTTTTCCCTCCCTTAAAAAAAGAAACATGTTGACTCTAATGCGACATATTGAATAAAATATGTTCAATATGTTGGGCATAATAATTCCAAACTGAAGGAGCTGCATTAGGAAGATTCTGTCCTGGTTGGCCAAGACAAGTGTTGAGTCAGCCCTGGGTAACTTGCTTAACATTATGGAAGGGTGCCACACCAAGGGCCTTTGACCTGCTGCCTGGATGCTCCATCGGCGATTATGAAATTGGAACTAGTCATGTCTTATTAACATGAATGCAACTATATCTTACAAGTTTCTCACGTTATCATTAGAGGCACTGTTCAGAGTGCCATGAATTTCACGCCCTCTCTGGGTTTCCAAGGAGTTTCTGATGAGCTGTTGTGATGGGGTGTATTACAAGGAATTATTGTAGCAGAAAACTGTAAGGTCTGTAAGTGTTTCCAAGGTTTTGCGGCAGCCTGTGAATTTAACACCCAAGGGTCTCCCTGCCCCCCCCTACAAAAGAGAGGGGAAAAACCCTCTTTTTCCTACAGTACTGTTACTGTGTCAGCAGAAAACTTGGGGATGCTAAAATGCATGGACGCAAATGTCAATAGTACTGTTTTGGAAAGGAATTCTTCACCCACTCTGTGAAAAGAAAGGGCAAGATGGGCATGGTGAGGTGTGCCTATGTCCCTGCTACTGGGGAGACTGAGACTAGTGGATTGCTTGAGCTCAGGAGGTCAAGTTGCATAAAGGAAAGGAAGGGAAAAGGGAAAAGGGAACAAGGAAAAAGGAAAGGAAAGATAAAGAAACGGAAGGGCAATACTCCTGCCTATATCAGTGGTGCAGAGGCAAGCAAGGTTTCTTGCAATGTCTGAGCTTCCTTGGAAGGCAGCTAACCAAAGAATCTTCTTTTCCCTCCCAGTTCTTGGTTTACTCCCCTCCCACACTGAAGCCCCTTTCCCACCAGGTAGTCACTGAGAAAGCCAATCTGGGCACTTACCTAGAATCTTACTAATGTTGGAGTTGTGCATGTCAGGGAAGGCTTGAAGGATTTTCCTCCTCTCGTCCTTTGCCCAAACCATGAAAGCATTCATTGGTCGCTTGATGTGTGGTTCGGTGCTAGCCCGGCCGCGGGCATCCCTGTAGACTCGGGCTTCAGCCACCGTGGCACCTCCTGTTGGCCAACAATAATACTGCTGTAGTTTAGCTGCAGAGCCATTCACGGCTTTACTTCCTGGAATGTCAGGGCATGAAGACACAAGATGGGTGCAAAGCATTATTAGCTGGATTGCAGATCTAGGCCTGGCTCATTTGTTTTCCCTGTTCTACTACCTTCCCCACCTTCAGCTTCTACACAAACTCTGGCCACCTAAAGTGGTACTGTAGGGTATTCTCCTTTCTGGCCACTGGAATCCTTGGTTTCTTTCCAGGCTCAGCTCAGAGGCCACTTCCTAACTTGGAGTATAGGAGCATTTTTTAAAAATATAGTTTGAAAACTGTATATCAACCCATAAGTTTGTATACAGTGTAATCCTATACATTTTATTTTCTCCATTTAAAAACATTAATCTGAGAAAGAGTCCACAGGCTTCACTAGACTGTCACAGGGGTACAAGGTATGAGAAAGGTTAAGAATCCCTGCTAAGTAAAGAAATAATAAAGAAGTAAATGAAAACCTTTCTTAATCCCCTCAGTTGCTAATGCCTCCTCTAAAAATTACTTTGTATTTATTTTACTTACTGAGTACATGTTGTTTTCCAAAGTAGAATGTAAGCTCCCTAAGGGCAATTGTTTTCCTTTTTGTCTTCCTATCCCTAATATCCATCTAGCACAGTGCCTGATTCATAGTAGACACTAAATAAATTATTGCTAAACTAAATTAGACTAAAATACGGCTGCTGAATAGTGTTGTTCATTTATATATGTATCAGGTCCTTTTGGCCTGAATGTGAGCTCAAAGAAGGCAGTGGTGGCCATGTCTAAATGATCTTTGTACCTCTCTCATGGACTCTCAAAGGCCCTTGTTCGCTCTCATGTTCGCTACACATGGTGGGGGATAGAATGAATTCCAATGGACCATTTTTCCTGAGGTCTCAAAGTACAACTAACCCAGTGGGACAAGCTCCCATATTTTTTTTCCGCCCGATGCATGTTGGAGAAAGAAATGGCCTCTTGCAACATCTCTGTCTTCTCAAATTGCTTCTAAATTCCAAAGCAAAACAGGTTGCTTCGTTTTTCCCATAAGTCCATCTTTTTCAGACAGAAAGCAGGAATCTCTTCATTTCAGAGGCTCCAGGGTCCTACTTTTGATGTTGTTTATCTGCTACCTTCTGCCTGTATCTAAGATCATTTTAGCCACTGATGGACCAGATCTTTTTGGTTTAGTAAACAGAGTTCTTGCCCCTAGTCTGCTCCAAAGTCTAGAATCAGGCATGACACCCCAGAAACACTGAGGCTAGAGGGCACAAAGATGGGGAGCATTGAGGTTTAAGGCAAAGGCTCCCCTATAAATTGATCGATTTCATTGAAGTTACATTGAAATTCACACTTCCTCCTTGCCAATCTGTTCCCCAAGGAGTATTATTTCCTAAGTTCAATGAGCTCCTTTATAATTGACAGGTTGAAAGGCCCTGAGTAGCCCCTATAATCACCCCCTTTCAGAGTTTTACCTGTATAAATGAATAGACTTTAGAACAAATATTATGCAAATTATAGAGATAAGTTTCTGCCTCTCTCTGATAAATGTTTTGGTTTTTCCCTACCTTGAGAAACCAAAGCCCTCAGTTCTATTGCAGCTTATCATCCCCAGAACCCAAGGGGTGCCCTGGCAAATTGATGCAGCTGGAGAATTTGGAGCAGGAGAGATTGTTACTGTCAATCCCCCTTCTGAGAAAGCCAGAACAGCTACCCTTACATGTTTAGAAAGAAGCAAAATATATTTTAGAAGGCATAGTTAGTGCTTTCTGGAAAAAGTAAATCCTTTCAGTTAAGTTGAGTTATTGTACAGAAGCAATGTGGACTAATCAATCTCAGGCTCGACCACTCTACCTCAGGATACCTTGATTAAGTAGAAATGTGTTGGTGTCAAAGTCCGTAATAAATTAGAACATTAAAGTGCATTATTATTTCATAAACACGGCCATCATTTATTTCCAACAAAAGACAGGATAAAAAGAACAAGTTGGTTATTTTGCTGCATTCCCATTCTCTATGGGGGTGGAGGGGTATCCCAAAGGGCTCACAAACACAGTCATTTTGCCAGCCCCCCTTCCTTTGGACCCCACTAGCTAGGCAGAGAGATTCCTTCCATGGAAAGTCCCCAAGCACGGGATGCATAACTAATATGCTACCTTTTTGCCACCATCCCCACAGTACATTAATTTCATTTAAAATGCACTGACCATACAGGATAAATTGATTTCACTTGCTATGGCTTTGACAGCCATGTTTATTGCGCAGTGAAATGTAGTGTAGCTTCAAGCTGACAATATCCATCAACATAGGGCAATATGCTGACTGCTGGGCCAGATGAAGGCATACATTACTCTAGGAGCAAAACACTTATTCAGATACGACACAGTGTCTTCTCCTGAGGATCACCAGGGTAATTTATGATGTCCTCCATGCCATTACTTTACAACTGACACGGATTCAGCAATTTATATACTTGCCCGCGTACACATAAAAGGAGACAGGTTTGTGGAGAATGTCAGATGAAAAGACATTTCAATATTATTTTAAGTTAACTGCTGTGCCACAGGTGTTTAACACTGGAGGGCCGTCTTTAATGCTTTCACTTTCTACTCCCCATGAAACAAAGAAGTCAAACTTTTTTTCCCCCGAATTAGGAGCAGATTGAGGGGAAAGGAGAAACTTCTGGGAGTTCCTTCACCAATAGAGAGGGAAAGGTTTGCAGTGAGGCTTTGGTGGATGGCTGCAAGACCCTCAAAGAGGAAGCAGCTTGGCAAGAGAGGACTACTTTCTAGACTTCTCTCTGGGCAACAGATCATCCTCAGGCCTAGCTTGATGCTTTTGCTTGAAAGGCCCCATTTCCTCTTTTCTTAGTATGAGAGGCAGCACAGTAAGGTAGGAAGAAAGATAGACTTCTCCCTCTCTCTAATTTCTCTATTTCTATGAATGATGTCTCAAACTTACTCCAGCTCCAAAGCTCAGGGGGTCTTGACTTCATTTTCTCTCACTTCTCCTAATCAGTTCTCTACACTATTAACTCTGCTTCTACAAACTGAATTGAATCTACTTTCTCATTTCCACTCTCAGTCTGTCTACCCTAGTTCAGGGTAGATGCCTTCAGTCTCTCTCTACTCAAACATCTTTCACACAGCTATTCTAATAACCTTCCTAATGCACTGCCCATTCAATGTCATTTCTCAGCCACCAAAAGCTTCAGTGGTTCTCCACTGTCTACCAGATACACTAGAGACCCCCCCCAGTTCTGGTCTTCAAGGACCTTTCCAATCTGACCCCAGTGTATCATTCCAGTGTTATCCCATCAGATTTGTCTTCATTTTGTAGCTCAGCTGGTTTGCTCACCAGACCCTTTTATTGTCCTGTTCTCCTTTAGTGTAATCCATGCTTCTACTTACTCTATACTTAGGATGAATTCCTTGCCTCCTTTTCTCCACCTGTTCTAATACTTCTCTTCCTTCAAGGCCTAAGTCGGGTGCCACCTCCCCCCATCCTTCCCTCCGCCCCTGCCCCCTGCCCTACCACCACTACCATGTGAAAATGATCTCTGCTTATTCAAAATTCTCTGAGCTTTCTGCCTAACACTTTTCTTTGCTTTTATCACATTCTCCTTCGTATCATCAGCAGTATTTGTGCACGTGTTTATAGCATCAGTGGGAGTGGGAGTGGAAAGGATTATGGGGATGGATGGAAAATATATTATGGAGAGAGAATGAACAGAACTCAGCAGATTTGAGTCCAAAAACTCCTTGAGGGTAGGGACTATGTCTTCATGTCATCTTGGAATCCCTAGCATTTAGTCCTGGACTTTCCACATACTAAATGTTTAATAAACCGCTGAATTGAATTGAAAAATGATTGAATAAGTATTTCTGACCCCTCTGGTAGAAATTCTTGCCCAGTTCTATTTTCTTTTTGTAAGCTGCTCACCAGTTGGTTTATCTAAAGTCCCTATAGTCAGCTGAACCTGGGCTTGAAGTCTGGTTGGACCAAAATATAAGAGAAAGATCGAGGGTTCTCAGAGACAAAAAGTCACCAGAACTTTCCACAATCTAAAGCATTTTGGACACTATAATTTTAATGTGGCAATGGTGGATACTATTAATTCTGCATTTCAATTCATAATTTTAATTGAAAAACATTTTTGAAGGTCTTCAAAAGAAGAGTAAGAAGATCAGAAAAATTATCTGTTTCAAAGGGAACATAAAAGAATGCTATAAAATAGTTTTCATTTGTTTCCTCCCCCCACAATTTATGCATCGGAAGCTTAAAATTAACTTACTGCTATTATGTTTTAAATTACAAAGAAAAGAGAATATGATTTCATTGGTTTTTGAAAGGTGTACCCAGCTAATGAAAAGATAATTCTGTTTTAAAATTATCGCTCCTGTATATCTGGGATTGTCTCAGCCTTGAATCTGGTTCTTTTGCTAATTGGCTATGTGACTTTGACTAAGTCTCTCATCTTGGCCTCAATTTCTGGAAAAGAAAAAGATTAGTTCAAGTGACCACTAAAGTTCCCTCCTGCTCTGATGGTTTGTGATTCAGTGGCTGATTCTGTTCCTTAAAGCCCCTCCCCCCACTTAACAGGAGATAGGCATTTCTAAAAAAAATCAAGGCAATGATGCAGTTTGGTAGATTTAAAAAAAGTCAGTGGCTCAAGCTAGGTTAGATATAGCACAGGAAGAACCCCCATGGCAGGGCAGGTCTATAGCAGACCAAAAATGGACAACTGAAGTATCAACATCAATTAGCAGTGACTAAGAGACCAGCATCACCTGTGAAGCGGAAGGAAAATGTTCTCTTGCACTCAAGACAATGGCAAATTTGTCACACAAAGTCAAAGTAGGCAGAGACCTTACAGCCCCTCTAGTCCAATCATACCCGAGGAGGATCCCTTCTGTAATGCTCCGACAAGTACTACAGCACCCAACTTAAGCCCAGGATTCTTTACACTGCATCACACTATTTCTGATTATTCTCTATGTGCTTCAGTGTGCTGTAAATTTCAGGAAGAGAAGAAGAGTT